TTGGCGACAGCATTCCTTCGGGTGTGGGAAGGGTTGCAGTAGTGGCTAAGAGGAGAGCCCTCATTGACCTGTCGACGTTGCTTGCGGTTATTCGGATCTTGGCCATACACGTCTGGTGTTTTATGTGGACGCATGCAGTATTGGAGCCTCTAGTTTTCCGGCCTGCAGCCGTGGTTTTCCTTTCCCTGACCTAGCCTGGCCTTACATGTTTTGCAGTTCACTCTTCCTCGCAACATTGCTTATTTTTTCCTAATTCACTGAATTATTTTTGGGTTCCTCCATTGCGGGTGGTGAAAGCAAATCGTTGCTTGCAGCACTGATTAAGCGTTACGCTTAATTCCTCATGTTAAAACTTGGGTGACTTGCTTTTTTGGCATCTGTTGATACAGCAGATTTGCACTGCTGCGGGAGGCATCAGGAGTTGACTGGGTGTGAGTTATCGGTGTTCTGACTGGATATACTTTAGCAAGAAATCAGAAGATACTTGCAGCAAACTCTGGTTTTTTATGCGTTTTTTGCTGTGCAGCAGCTGCACAAAACGCATATTGTCACGGCGTTGTGTGTGTGTGTGTGTGTGTATGTGTATGTGTGTGTAAGTGTGTCTTGTCCACAACTTTCAATTTAGGGACCACAGGAGCTACGGAGCTGAAAATTTAGGGTAATATGCCTTTCCCACATGCTATCCCTAAATTTAACTTCAACGTTCCCGTGCTCGCGGGTAACGCGTGCGGCCCGTGAAACTTTTGGCGGGAAAAATTATTGTCTCGGGAACCTCGAAAGTTGGGGATCTGGAATTTTAGGGTGATGTTCCGTATCAACGTGTGACCCCGCAGATTTGGAACCAGCTTTCGCGCACCCCTGCATTCCACGCATGGTCCCGTAAAAGTTTTGGCAGGCGAATTATTATCTCGTGAACTACAAAAGTTAAAAAGTCGAAATTTTACAGCAGTGTCTCCTGCCCAAGTACAACCCCCGAGTTTGAGTTCAGCCTTTCCCTGCGTCTGGACATCACGTACGACTCCGTAAAAGTTTTGGCAGGAGAAATTATTATCTTTGGAGTCACGAAAGTTAGGAAGCTGAAATTTTAACTTAGCGTCCCCTGCCCATGTACGACTCCGCAAATTCTCAACGTCCCCGTGCAAGGTTTGACGCCAGAAATCTTGGGAGCCAGAAGAGCTAGGAGGCTGAAAATTTTAGCAGGTGTTTCCTGCCTAAGCGGGGACTTAACAAACTCGAATTCAGTTAAGTATGCCGAGGTCTCAAGTACGACCATGCGGAAGTTCTGTCTCAAAGACTATTCAAAAGCCTGAAAATTAGAGGACTGAAATTTTGGAAGAATATTCACCATCCGAGGTTTCAAATTCCGCTTTCACTTGCCGATGCGTAAAATTTTTAAATGTTTTTCAACATTTCAGCTTTTTGCACAAACCAAAGTGCAAAGCAGTACAATTGTTCGGTGGACGGAATTGCACAAAACGCATGACCGTACCGGCTATTCTGGTGCGCTCGCCGTTTATCCTTTTTACTATGCATTTTTGCACATTTATGCAAAGGTAAAAGCGCTGATTGTTAATAGGTTGTCTGTGTATGTGTGTGCTCATGTATTTGAAGGTGGAGAAGATAGAAAGCTGGAATTTTAGTAACATATTTGTACGCCGGGTTCCACCTTTCCTTTTTTAAAATCAACACTTTCGTATGCATTGGCGCATGTACGAACGCCTAAAAGAAAACGTAAATTTTTGGCGGAAAACGACTGCGGAAACCAGACAAAATCACTAGCGACGCCCGCCAGGCGGGCATTTGTGTCTTTGCACTATTTCGTGCTATAGGAAAATCGCATGGAATCCCAGTAACTAGAAATTTTTACAACCATGTGGTATATCAGTTGTAGATGTCGATTTCAGCGATCTGACAAACGAAAAGTTGCTTGTGCGCAATAAAAAACTCCACGAGAAGAGCTGAATTTGAAATCTTTAGTCGCACATGAGTAGGGGACATTCCCTTAAAATTCCAGCTTTTCAGCTTTTCTCTCTCCTGAGTTAGCAGTTTTTCCGTCAAAGTTTACACGTGCCATTAATTAAGACCCGGACGGTTCTATGTAGCTGGATTTGAAACCTTTTATGAGTAGGAAACGTTCTCTAGAAATTCCAGCTTTCCAGCTTTTCTCGTTTCCAAGTTAGCAGTTTTCCCGCTAAAATCTAGACGTGCTTGACAGTTGATATTACGTTCCTGAGGTCGCACGTGGCCAGGGAACCCACTGGGAAAATTTCAGCTCCAGAGCTTGCATGGTTACAGAATAAAAATATCCGGACAGACGAACACACATGCACCTCAAAAACACACACTACACATATGTATATATATATATGTATATATTTATATATATATATATATATACATATACATATTTGTAGTGTGTGTTTTTATGCGTTTTTGCATATATGTAAATTGCAAAAACGCATATTGGGAAGAGGCTGTGTGT